TATTATCGTTGTTAATATATATATATTTACCTCCGATATTGCTATTATGCTATCATACTATGTATGTAATAAGAAACTTAATTGGCATGATGATATTGATTTTGTAATGTTTTGATAAGGAAGATTGGTAGTCATATCTTATAATGGTATGATATTATTGGTTATGAATAGGAGAAATGCAGTAATTAATTGCTCTAATATGCATGTTTCTTTTTTCTTTATTGAGCTCTTATGTTACGTTCGTAAATTGTTATTTCTTTCGTAACACCCTGCCTATTGTGTCACACCTTTATTGTAATTTAATTAAATTACTGAATAAAGGTGATCTATATATTATTAGTATTAGAAGTCGTATAATTAGAAGTAGTAGCCGTAGGAGTAGTTTTTTTTTGTAGAAGTAGCAGTAGTAGCAGTAGTAGCAGTAGTAGCAGTAGCAGTAGAAGTGGTTCGATAAAAGTCTTCGTGATAGTAGCAGTCAAGGTAGTAGAATAAGTAGTAGAGGTAGAAAAAAATAACATTGTAGTGGTAGTCGTAGAAGTAGAAGTAACACTTCTACTTCATTTCAGTTCAAGTTGTAGTGGTAGAAAGAGTAGAAACAGCAGTACAAAAAATGAAGTAGTAGCAAAAGTAGTAGTAATCGTAATAGCAGTTGTAGTATTAGTATCATTTTCTTTATTTTAAGTAGTAGTAGTCGTAGGGGTAGGGATAGTAATAATAGTAGTAGTCGTAGCAGTAGTAGTAATAGTATTAGAAGTAATAGTAGTAGTAGAAGTAGTAACAATAAAGTCGTTTTCGTGGTATTGATAGTAGTCGTAGTAAAAGTAGTAATAGTGGTTTTGCTAATAGTGAGCTGTATCAGTAATAGTACTAGCAGCAGCAGTAGTGGTACTAGTTTAGGTGATGTTGTAGAAATATCGGCTTTAGAATATGTCTTTAGAAAAAATACCCATGATAATAAACATCTGAAAATAATCAGATGCAGCCGTCAACATAAAATAATAAGATAATGATAACAACACTCCTTTGATTTGGAATTAGCGAAGAGTAAGTGTCAGTAATAATAAAGGCTAGTGGTAGAATGAGGAACAACAGTAGAACATATTGAAATAGACAGAAAGAGAGAGGAGGTGAGAAGAAGGGAATATACAAAACGAGAGAGCCTTATAGTAAGATGTCGAAAGAAATGATGGAAGACAAACACACACACACACACATTACTTGAGGAAGAAAGAGGTAGGAAAGAGCTAGTGGTAGAATGAGGAACAACCGTAGAACATATTGAAATAGACAGAAAGAGAGAGGCTTGAAAGGGAGGGAATATAAAAAACGAGGGAGACTTATAGTAAGATGTCGAAAGAAATGATGTAAGACAAACACACACACACACACACACACATTACTTGAGGAAGAAAGAGGTAGGAAAGAGCTAGTGGTAGAATGAGGAACAACCGTAGAACATATTGAAATAGACAGAAAGAGAGAGGCGGTGAGAAGGGAATATACAAAACGAGGGATGCTTATAGTAAGATGTCGAAAGAAATGATGGAAGACAAACACACACATTACTTGAGGAAGAAAGAGGTAGGAAAGAGCTAGTGGTAGAATGAGGAACAACCGTAGAACATATTGAAATAGACAGAAAGAGAGAGGCTTGAAAGGGAGGGAATATAAAAAACGAGGGAGACTTATAGTAAGATGTCGAAAGAAATGATGGAAGACAAACACACACACATTACTTGAGGAAGAAAGAGGTAGGAAAGAGCTAGTGGTAGAATGAGGAACAACAGTAGAACATATTGAAATAGACAGAAAGAGAGAGGCGGTGAGAAGAAGGGAATATACAAAACGAGGGAGGCTTATAGTAAGATGTCGAAAGAAATGATGGAAGACAAACACACACACACACACATTACTTGAGGAAGAAAGAGGTAGGATAAGAAAAAGTGTACATGTAGAACAATACACGAATAGAGAGACAGGATTCGTATAAACTTGACCTAGGGTGAAACATACTCCTTTATCAAAATCGGCATCCAACACCTCCTTATTGTTTAGATATTATTCATATCTATATTATATGTGCAGTAAACCCTACTCCAAAATGAGTTGAAGAAAGAAAACAAAATCCATCCGTGTGACTGGCCTAAAGCTCCCGAGGTATAAAGCTGGTCTATAAGCTACTCAAAAGCTTCTTGATCCAGATACTTAACACTTTCTATGAAACGCCCTGCTAGTTTTCTTCGAGCGAACATTTTAAAAGGTTAATCTGATGTTTACATATAGAAATCAACCCATCCCTTACTAGGAGACTTCTGTCGTTTCATTAGCAAGCCATAGGTTCACTTATTTCGGTATCTTCGTCGGTATATTACAGTGTGTTGGTAAACACTAATATTAATGAATCAATCGTCTTTTCAGTCAGAAGGCTACTATTTTGTTTGTAACCCCCACAACCGCCCCCCCCCCAAAAAAAAATATATAAACTAAATAATTATGTGGATAAATTGAGAAACAGCTGTGTACCGGAAGCTACATTGATTACATCTTACTTTTAGCATGTTTACATGTACATATCCATGTCTTTAGACAATGGGAGCTGCGTTTTACTACTTCTCTTTAGTAAAAAAAAATTATTAATTCGATACACTTTTTGTCAGATGAGAAATATGAAGAATGCCGAAGGCTGACTTATCAATCCGTCAATTAGTCCCATCACTTACATCGTTCAGAATGGTAATTTCTCACAGCTGATATAACAATAGTCGTGTCGCATATTCGGGTTTCCCGCTTTTCGCCTTTTTGAGAGTATGGTCAAAGATTGTGACGAGAGGTCTACCATTCAATAACTTTCTATGAGCATCAAAAGAAACTATTAAAAACAAATACCTAGGGAGGATGCAAGTTGGGAATCGAACAAAAAGATGTAATAAATACCAAAGACCAAAAAAAAAGCGTCATTTGACATTCTCCAGAAACCTTCAAACACAAACCGAATCCTTTTACACCTCGAGTGCTACGAGAGCTACATCAGAGTCAACTATTGGAGGTCCTCTGGAGAAAGCTATGTCAGTGTTACATGACGGGGCACTGCATATATTGTACCGGCCTACCTAATACCAAAGTGGTACTTGAACTCAATACTGCTGTTGCCACAGTACATGTATAGACTAAGTATAGCATTATACTTGTATGACCTATATACGTCGATCCACTTCTCAATATCTGATCCTGAGCAAACTTATTCTATTTCTGTTGTCCTAAATTTTACGTTCTATCTTCTCCTGCCCATGTCCGTTGTGCGATTTATTTCCTGCATTAATTCTTTAACCCATCATCCAACATCCTATGTTGTGAGTCTATTATCTCTTGGTGGCCTATCATTACCTAACGCGCACTTTCCCACTCTCTTTCGCTGTGGAACTCTCGCACACGCGCGCACACATACACACACACACACACACACACACTTTACTTTCTTCCCTACTTCCTCGGGAATTTTAGTTAAAAGTTAAAAATGAACATAAAATTATACGATTCTCCCTTCTTTTCTACCTAAAAGCACTTCTACGATTAAAAAAGACGTATATACAATCCTTAAAATACATTGAATATAGAAATGTTGTCATTTATGTGATTAACACATTTAACTAAGTGTCCATTGAAATTCAATAGGAGCTTGATAATCTTTGTATGTAGACACACATATTTGCATAATTTCTGAATTATTTTTACGTTCACGAGTACTTCTCGATTACTTCTCGAGTAAAAAGACTTCCTCTAAAAGCCCGAAATACATGTCCATTTTTGAAAAATAAGACACTCCCCAGGCTCTTTTGTGTCTCTTTGAACTATTATACATATTTAGATTTACAAATACAGATAAACTGAATAGAGAAGGAAAAAAAAAAAAAAAAAAAAAAAGGGGAAAAAAAGGAGGCGACACTAAATGGGAAAAATCTATGTAGACTGCAATTTCCTCAAGAGAAAATATGTGTCCAAAATGAACCTCTATAACCACGAAGGTTTACAGTAATTATCAATTTTACATCGAGGAATAATGACGATTTATACAATAAATTTCACTTTCATGTTGCAGACCATGTTCTCCTTTCCCTCACAAACGAATATATATACCGCATTAAATATACCAGCAGGTCACAGTACAGAGGAACGGTCCCGTTCGCACTCTTATTTCATATTCCAATTTGTTCGGATTAGTTGAACTTTGTTTCCAAGTCAATATTGTCCCCATATCATATTCTGCGGAATACATTTATAATTGTGTTCAAGCTCGACCATACAAATTAATAAAGAGACGAAGACCTTTTCCCTTTTAAACACCTCGGTTTGAACCGCCAATTTAAAGGGAGAATTTCAGATTGGTACATGCTGACGGTAATTAAATTCACTATATCAATGAATATTTTTTCTGTGCTTCCTAATGAATTTCATCGACACACAAAAGAGATGATTATACAAGCTCACACCTTTCCAGAGGAAAACACAACTTGTTTGAATGGCTCTATTAAATAAAGTTATACATCTCTAACTGGAGATTATTGGATGATTTGGCAAATGCCATTAAAAACTTTGATCGATTTTCTCAACGATAAAAAATTGCACAGAACCCACAAGTACTTCATCGTTTTTCCTATCCCCGATATTGCAAATTATTATATGTAAGGTTCCAAACGGTTGTTTTTAATGTTACTTTTCGATAGCATTCCTGCAAACCGCTTTGCGAGACATCATCCCCTCAGTAGCCGTGCATCATCCAAAATTCTTTTTAATTTTGCATGATAAAGATAAGATTTTAATGCAGTTGGTACGTTTGCTTTAACCTAAAAACCTTCAAGAGCTAAAATGTTATGATCTTCTTTATGGTTCAGTCACACCACTACACCAATTCCAAACCTTTTTCAAATCAACAACCCCCCCCCCCCCTTCGAAAAATGAATATTGGCCAATAAGAGTATTCACATAAAAAGCTGAAGGCCATGAATTCTACTAAAATTCAAACCCGACGCTGGGCTTAATTTGTTCTTCTTCAAAATATTGTTTAACAAGTAGCAACCAAAGTCATAATGAGGCCTACAGTTCCAACTGTCGACTGTGATGTTTAACTCAGGGTCAGGTTTAACTGAATTAGTAAAATAGGGAAAGCAGAGGTCACGATCGCAACTACTTCGAGAAATCAACTTGGGGGAAATCCAATATTCGGATTACGTCATGCAGCATAGTACATTTCTAAAGGTGATAAACAGGGCTTTTTGAAATTGCCTTATTTCTTTTTCTTCTTCGGGTAAATGCGATCGTGCTGGCGGTTTTTCCCCCTTTTCTTCAGAGGGCAGAGCTATTGATGGAGGAGGTACGGGTTATGTAGGTCGAATGACCCCTTGTTGCCATGGAATTGTGGGGGGAGCTTACTTCGCGACAGAGGATCGTCTGCTTGAAGGCACGCCGGAACCTCGCCGACATCACGTTGTAGAGGATGGGGTTGATGGCGGAGCTGACGTAGAGCAGAACGATGGAGAAGTGATAGAGCCCCCTGTAGTAGATCTCCTGGACAGGCTGGGGCCACTCATCCAGGTTGAAGAAGGGCAGGATGCGGATTAGATGAAACGGGAACCAGCAGATGAAGAAGCTAGCCGCAATCACAACTTTAAAAAACAAAAAACGTGATAGTTATATATCAAGGACAAGCAATAGCATCAAAGGAATAGATTAGCATGACGCAACAGAGGAAATTCGAGCATATTGCTACTCACAAATTTATCTCCATATCAATTCCGAATGACCCTTATACGTCAACCAGAGAGACTTTTGAATTTTAACCTAATATATACTCCATATTTTGTTCAAGTCTAATACCTTTCAGGCAAATGGGTAATAAGAGTCCTGTTAGTAAAAAAAACAACCTTTCTTAACATCTTTGCATACCCGACCTCAACTGACTTTTACTGTTTGAACCCTTGACCTAAAATATACTCCACATCATCTTAGCACGTAACGAGTTTGGTGCCCATGTTCTAGAAATTCAGGCAACTTTAACATCCAGAGCTAAACATTTCTGGGCGTGTTTACACTCCCACTTCGGACCAGACATCTCTACATTGTTATGAGAGAGTAGAATAATTTCCTTTCAAAACTTGAGACATACTTCAGCGTGTGATAAAGCTGACCGTTATATTATAGTTTTGCCATTTTTAATGAAATACTGATTCAAAGAATTTGATATTAGTACCCATCTCCCTCTTCGACAAAATAAAGAAAGAGGATCACTTACCTAGCATCTTGACCACTTGTTTTCGCATCGTGATAACTTGGTCCTCTTTGTCTTCCTTGGCCTTGAGGTTGCCATTGACTCGGCAACGACCCTTCGTGGAGCTCGATCTCCTCATAGGAACCTTGATGTTGACACCAAAGAGGACACGGGCGATGAGCGAATAGAGTACGATGATGAGCGTCATGGGGAGGAGAAAGAGAAAAGTTGCTGAAAAGACATAGAAATGGTTGACACGATTCTCCATTTCGTCTGTCGTCTGGCAGACCGTGGACTCCTCAATGCCGTCGCACCCTTCCTTGAGATGGTAGGAGAGGGCCAGAGGGATGCTGATGAGGAAACTCAAGATCCAGATGGCGATGATGAACTTGATGGCACGAGAGGTGGAGATGAACGCTTTCGCTTTCATTGGGTGGCAGATCGCCACGTAGCGTTCGATGGTGAATGCGGTGATGTGCAACACCGTCGTGAAAAGACAGAACTCGATGAGGAAGAACCGCGCGTGACAGAAAAATGACGTATAGGTCCAAGGCCAGTAGCGGAGTTCCACCAGGACTTCTGTGGGTCCCGTCAACACGAGTAACAACATATCCGACGCAGCTAAACTTACAAGGTAATGGGAGGTTGACTGTAGGACACGATTCCGCAAGATGACAATGATCGTTAAGAGGTTTCCAAAAAATCCAACAAACACTAGCGAGAGAATGATGACGGCAAACGGTATCACAAACGCATACTCATAATGCGACGGCGGCATGATGTACGATAAATGGTCTATCAATTCATCACCGGACAGATCATACATGTAAGCCGGGCATGTTAAGTTGTTGTCTAAGTAGCATGTCCGGGTTATATTGAAGAAGAAACTGTCTACAGATTGAACATCGCTGTGGCTGACCTCTCTTTTGAGTCTCTCATATGAATATTGACAATAATCGAACCCATCGCTGCCATTGTGACTTGGTCCTTCTGCAGGGAGATACGACATTACTTGAGAATCCGGGCCTTCCATGGTCATATTTGTTTTCTGACTTCTTACTTTTTTTGTAACGTATCGCTACTTCTTTTACAAAGAATTGATTAATAAATGACAGTCAAAGAGTTACACCTTTTGTCTACATCCTCATGAATTTAATATTAAGTTACATTTTTTACTTTTGTACAAGTCTTCTCCTGGGTAACTTTTACAATCCACACAGCACGGATCTTCACCCACTGCTTCTTTTCCAAACAAACGAATTGATACAGAACTATACACAATTGATTCTTCCCTCTGTTCACCTTTGTTCATTCATCATTCCTTGTTTACTTTCTTCGTTTTTTTTACATCACGTGGAGAGTCAGACCCAGATTTCTGGTAGGTACACCCTCAGAAACAGGTTTGCTGGAAGAGAAGGGTATCAACAACGTTGACAAACTGAAAGGTGCCTGTAAACGCAGCTAATCGATCTCCTCGTGCTTGGGTGTGCCACTCTTATACGTCTCAGAACTCACATCCATTGAACGGAGGCAAAGGTTGGGAGACAACATCCGTGTTACAACAGGAGGAGAACTCATTTACTGCACTACAAGATCGAGTATTCAATTGGACGTCAGAAGTGCTTCTCCCCTGCCGACTAGAGTGGGATGCGGTGATTTGATTTTGAGCAACCTAGAAGAGGAAGAGAAAAAAACAGAAGAAAAAAAATCTCATTTACACAAGTACTTCAGAAGTCTTTGCGTGGTTAGCCCCTGGTCAGACAATACGGTGCCTAAAATCCTATTTTCATCGTCACCTTTTCAGTCATCCCTATTCTTAAAATACCATTTATCTGTCTTCGTTCATGTTTTCCTGCCCTCTTCGGCCCCAGCTTGTATTCTTCCATCTCAAATTCCGCGCCTGTTTGGCTTTTCAAATGTTCCTTTTCAAAATTTGACAACTGACATGTAAACAAAAATGGCATTGCTCTCATTTTAACGATCATTATACCCCCCCCCCGTCTTAAAAATAATAGCATTTTTTTTTGCAATTGCACGATCTGTCATACCATTTCTCTCTCGAAGTATTATGTTGCTATTTTTTCCCTCACAATGCTTTCCTTTTTTGCTTGTTCTCCCTTAAACTCTTTTCATCAAATACTGGACATGCTTTATAATATTCATCTCCCAGTCTTCTTATCTTCGAAATATTTATTACGACCAAATTAAACAACCGAAAATAGACTCGCGTTACATCCATTGAGAACACACACACACACACAAAAAATCGACATTCTGAGCTTTCCTCTGGATGACATTTCGGCCGAAATATTTATAAAAATATATTCTTTTCTACCATAAATTCCAAGCCTTCCACTGTACAAACATTCAAGCTAATATTTCTCTTGACATCAAATTTCAATAAAAAAAAATAAAAAAATCGAAAGCATTTTTCATCATTCCCTCCCACTTTACACACTTACGTATTATTATTAGGACGTTTACATTTTTCTGCCCGGCACACAAGGACAATATTAAAAAATATATAATATCGGATTTTTGAGGATAAGCAAACCAAAAATGAACTTCCCTCATTCCAAAAAATAACACAACTTCACTCTTGATTGAAAAGAGTTCCACTGCAAAATTGGCTCTTGTGAGAGCCACTTCCAATAAGTCTCAAGTTGGTGGACTCTAAAGAGGATACTGACAATGTGAAGGAAATTATTGTAAATCTCTATAGGAATCTCTATACACAATCAGCACGTTCACTAATGTCTTAAACACGAACCTCAACAGCTCGACAGAATCCAATTTATTTACAAGATCTACTTTATTCAGATTACGCCGATATCTTCATTAAAAGCAAAAAAGACATTTAGATTTTCTCTCTTTTTGGATTGACCTTTTAAAAGCAAAACACAAAACACCAATCAGTCTTTGGAAAATGCATTAAAAAGGAGGCTGTTGGTGTTTCCCACAAGTTGAACAAATGGAAGTTATAAATTTTTTTTAAACACCCTCGAAAACTTATTCAACCGATATAAAACAAGCCTATGTCCTCATGCTTCTTTCCGTAAATTCATTTATAAAAAAAAACCCAGTCTATTTAAGGACCGTTCAACTGAAGAAAGGTTTGGTTGGTGTACAAAACATTTGTTATGGAAATAAACAACACTAGACAGAAGCATTACGGACCACAAAAAAGTCCAGATCTTTTGAAAAAAGCAATGCGTTCAAGTGTAAGCTTTTCCCCGGCCGGAACTTTGAGAAATACACACATTAACCTCCAGAATAATGATTTGATTTGACATGAAATCATTGAGCCTAGCGTTAAATGACGCAAGGTCGCACTTGAAATAAGCAAACTGCTTGAGAGAGGTAGGGAACGAAAAGATCAATCTTCGGGGGGAATCCGAGAGGCCTTCTAATCTAATGACGTCATTCATGTGATGCACAATCTTTAAAACCAGAAGAAATTGAAGGTGAGCGAATGTAGGTTCGCTTCACGCGGTTACGCAAAGTGCCGGAAAATTAGAGAGGCAAATCCAAATATGGCTTTAATGTGATCATTGAAAGAACGTTCAAATATAATTTTCTACTTCACTAATTGTGCCTAGTTTTGCCCTTTTTGCAAGAAGTACATTTTTCATTCGTTCACTTTTGATTTCTGTCATTCGTGTCTTTGAATCATCATAGATCGTACGCCAGCATTGTTTTAAAAGTTTAATTACACCGAAAACTTTATCAAAAGTAGGTGATAATACACGCTATATATATATACACGCATTTGCAACGTACCGAAGTAAATCCTGGTTCTGCTATTAAACATTTTAAGCTGTGATTTGAGACGGCTAACACGGTAACGTTAGTCTTCACGAATATTAAATATAAATTTAAAAAAAAATAAAAATTATAATATATGATAAAGACAAGTCGAACTCTCAGAGGAGATAACCAAGAATAATGCAGCAGAAATATATTTTCACTCCCTATTGAATAATGTGAGACATATACCCTTGTTCCTTTGATACACTGCAGATACCTAAATACTAAATGATGAGGGATGATAAAAGAAAATGTATTGTTTCAGAATATAATTAATATCATAATTATCATTATAATTAGTATATGTAGAAGAAGAAAAAGTTGTAGTTTTAGTAGAATAAATAAAAGTAGTAGAAATAGTAATAATAGTAAAAGTAGTAGAAGTAGTAATAGTATTGATACTATCATCATCATCATCATCACGATGTGTATTATCATTACCATCAGTAATTTTTATAAATATTACAAATTTCAAAAATCTAAATCTCTCTGAAATAAACTTTTACTTCCTTGTCCAAGCAAGAGCTACCAACACTACTATAAGAAACACCCCAAACCCACCATACATGCATTCCAAATTACGTGAGAAAAAGGCTCCAATCGCATGTATTTCACCTTATAATTTTAACGATTGGACTTGAGTCCTCCTGCCATTAAAATTATTTGTATGCACCTTCTCAGCTTGCGAGAGAAATCCCGCAATCCCTCATTTGGTTTTTGTTTATACAAACTGCGGCAAGCCCTCTCGCGCATGTAAGTTAATCACAGAGGTTCTGAGTGAGGATGAAGTAGATTTGTGTCTCGCCTCCACAGAAAGGAAGGAAAGTATTCGGTAGAGGTATGTGAATCAAAGTTTTTTTTTTATTGACCCTGCTTTCCTTCCGCCGTAATAATAGAATAAAAATAGTGCCCAATCAATGTGAAAAGGTACTGGTACTACTACTACTACTACTTCTACTACTACTACTACTATTACTACTACTAGACTTCTACTATACTACTACTACCTTTCCATTATTTTATGTTGCAAATGAAATTATTACCAGTCGTAATCAATATTTTAAGGAATAAAGCTGCAAGGCACCCATTTACCTTACCTGGGTGGAGTGAGGCAAATGTAGAATTACGTCTTGCAAAATGACGTTTGTGCTGTGGCAGGGATTCAAACCGCGCGCTGTAGTATGGTTTATTTTACAGAATAATACAATATCTAAACATTTCATCTACGGTTAGTTAGTGGAAAATTAATGTTAACTTTTCATAATAAAATAATAATCATATACCATTTATATATTTCACATCAAATGTAAGTGTAAGTTCCAACTAACATGGGATCGATTGATCTTTTTTTTAAATGAAAGAATTCCCTTAGTATGACGGTTGTCACTTGTCAGTCTGAAGCCGCAAGGCAAAAATATAAGAATTTGAAAGTTTAACTGGCTTAGTTCTCATCAAATGTAAGTGTAAGTTCAAACTAATACAGGATCATTTGCTTTATAATAAAAGATGGAAGAAGTCTCTATAGTATGTGACGTTAATCAGTCCAAATCCTAAGGGCAAACATGCAATGTATGAAGGCAACAACAGCTTAAGTTCTGGATGTCAAGAAGGTTACATCAACGCAACATACAAACAAAAAGACGTCTTACATACTTTATCTAAGGTAGATGAAGACATAGCAGCATGACTACAGAATCTAAGACAAAAATCAAAATAACTACTGTCACGGTTCTTTGTGTAGATGAAGTTATGTTGATCGAAAATACTGATATTTTTCTAGTCCCAACGATGACATCAATGAAAAATAATTGAGTCCGCAAAAAACTGTTATAGTATTGATGTATATCAACTGTGTTGCTACGTTGGCTTTAGATACGACAGGGTAAACAAACAAAATATGTGAATCTAATAAGAAAGGAATGTAATGTGCTATGGGAGTATTCACCAAAAAAATACACATAACATTTCATCATTATCTATATTTCTATTATTCTTATTATAATCATTATCATCATTATTATTGTCATTATTTGAATCACCATCATCATTACTAGAATTATCATCATTATCATTATTATTATCATCATGAATTTCATAATAATCATTATCATTATTTCCAATATAAATATTAATATTATTATCATCATTATGATAAATATCATGTAATATTATCGTTACTATTCATGATTAGTATCAGTAATTATGTTGTATTTTTGTTATCACTACTTTTTTTATAATCAGTTTCATCTTTACTATTGCACGATCTTTGTTCTTTTATAAATATAATATGTGACACCCACTTTAATAGCTGCAAATAATTAATTCCCTAGATTTTAATGCCTTGTTTTATCTACGTGTCGAACCTCATTCGAAAGGAATCCTTGAATTATAGCAAACCACCAAAGTTCACCTTATTTCCCGGGGAACAAATTCGAAGTCGATGGTATCAACAGATGACACTAAAAACCAATCGACCTTACGAAACAAATCTTAAAACACAAATAAAACAACCTTGCAAGTTTAAAAAAAAAGGAAAACTAACCACTTATGTCCGCATGAGTGTTTTGTTACAATCGATTAGCTTTAAAAGCTTCTATAACAAAATAAAAAACGACTTTTATTGGCTTAAATTACTGACATTCGCACTAAACTCACAGACAAAACTGCCCTTTGGAAAATACAATTTAAAAATCAATACGTTAAAGCAATAACGATCAACGGGATCTTTACTACAACAAAAATAAACGTTGAAGGCATCTATTTTTTCTTCAAATGTCAACTTTTCAGCAATGCCAATGCATTCAAGACTGACCTTGGGATTACGAAGAGAACGTATTCATGTAAACGGTAAGCGCCACAGCGGATTATTTCCGCGTTGTTAACGATGGCTAATTCGAGCACAGGCTGTAGTGTAGTGACGTAAAATAAGAAATAAGAAAAGTAGCATACTCTGTCACAAGATTCTATATACTCTTTGGTATATATTAAGCAATTGTGAACAATAGCCATTTAAAAAAAATAAAAAAAATGTAATGCTTCCTTGGAGGAATTATAATTGTTTAAACATATTTGTGGATTACAGTTGCAAGCAGCGGATGGCAGGTTCAAATCCTG